CGTAAACAAGTTGGACTTATAACTTATAACCAAAGAAGATACGAAATTGTATAATTTGGAAGAGGCACGCGATTGACTTTTGCTCCAGAAAAAAAAATACGATTTAAATTATACGATAATTTCGATTTACGGGATATGTGCCTGCGCGATATATTTAAAATGGCTGTTTGGAAACGAACACGGAAAATGATATTTTTCAAACCGTTTTTCACCGAACGGGTAGAGAACGTAGAATCAAAATTCAGAGTGGTCCCTCGGCTAACTTGGGCTCCGGAAAAAAAATACGATTTAAATTATACAATAATTTCGGTTTACCCTTATATGGTTTCACGATGTATTTATAACGGATACTTGGTAACGAAAATCGAAAATTATTTTTTCCAAACCGCCTTAATCGAACTTATAACCAACGAAGTACGAAAATTGTATAGTTTGGAAGAGGCACGCGATTGACTTTTGCTCCAGAAAAATTAAATTATACGATAATTTCGATTTACGGGATATGTGCCTGCGCGATATATTTAAGATGGCTGTTTGGAAACGAACACGGAAAATTATATTTTTCAAACCACTATTAATCGAATATATAACCAACGAAGATACCAAAATTGTATATTTTGGAAAAGGCACTCGATGGACTTGGTATCCAAAACGAAAAATACGATTTAAATTATACGATATTTTCGATTTACGGTTATGTGGTTGTGTGATGTATTTAAAACAGATATTTGGAAACGATAACCGAAAATTATGTTTTCCAAACCACTTTTAATCGAACTTATAACCAAAGAGTATTCGAAAATTTTAAATTTTAGAAGAGGCACTCGATGGACTTATGCTTTGGAAAAAAAATACGACTTAAATTATACGATAATTTCGATTTACCGTTATATGGTGGTTGCACGAAGTATTTAAAACGGATACTTGGTAACGAAAACCGAAAATTATATTTTCCAAACCGCCTTTAATCGAACTTATAACCAACGAAGATACGAAAATTGTATATTTTGGAAAAGGCACTCGTTGGACTTTTGCTCCAGAAAAATAATACGATTTATATTATACGAGTATTTTGATTTACGGTTATTTGGTTGTGTGATGTATTTAAAACAGATATTTGAAAACGAAAACCGAAAATGTATACACTTGACCATAACCGTTGAATGAGTATAATATCTGTATAATGTATTTTAGCCATCCAGGGAACTACACACCCAACTTAACATTGTCTGCGGGTCAACACAACGGTGGGATCGAACTCGTACAAGTCGTAAACGTGTTGGACTTATAACTTATAACCAAAGAAGATACGAAAATTGTATATTTTGGAAGAGGCACGCGATTGACTTTTGCTCCAGAAAAAAAAATACGATTTAAATTATGCGATTATTTCGATTTACGGGATATGTGCCTGCGCGATATATTTAAGATGGCTGTTTGGAAACGAACACGGAAAATGATATTTTTCAAACCACTTTTAATCGAATATATAACCAACGAAGATACCAAAATTGTATATTTTGGAAAAGGCACTCGATGGACTTGGTATCCAAAACGAAAAATACGATTTACATTATACGATATTTTCGATTTACGGTTATGTGGTTGTGTGATGTATTTAAAACAGATATTTGGAAACGATAACCGAACATTATGTTTTCCAAACCACTTTTAATCGAACTTATAACCAAAGAGTATTCGAAAATTTTAAATTTTAGAAGAGGCACTCGATGGACTTATGCTTTGGAAAAAAAAACGACTTAAATTATACGATAATTTCGATTTACCGTTATATGGTTGCACGATGTATTTAAAACGGATACTTGGTAACGAAAACCGAAAATTATTTTTTCCAAACTGCCTTTAATCGAACTTATAACCAACGAAGATACGAAAATTGTATATTTTGGAAAAGGCACTAGTTGGACTTTTGCTCCAGAAAAATAATACGATTTAAATTATACGATAATTTCGATTTACGGTCATGTGGTTGTGCGATGTATTTAAAACATATGTGGAAACGAACACCGAAAATTATGTTTTCCAAACTGCTTTTAATCGAACTTTTAACCAACGAAAATACGAAAATTGTGTATTTAGAAAGAGGCGCTCGATGGACTTTTGCTCCAGAAAAATAATACGATTTAAATTATACGAGTATTTCGATTTACGGTTATTTGGTTGTGTGATGTATTTAAAACAGATATTTGGAAACGAAAACCGAAAATGATATACACGTTCCAATAACCGTTGGCTGAGTATAATATCTGTATAATGTATTTTAGAAATCCAGGTATCTCCACACCGAACTTAACATTGTCTGCGGGTCAACACACCGGTGTCATCAAACCGATTGTATCAAATTTGTAATATTTGTGTTTTTAGACGGCTTATCATGCATAGAATTCTATTACCACTACACCACACTCATTTACTGACCATTTTTAAATATTTTTAATGTCACAAAAATATTGAGTTATAATGTCACAAGTGTAGAACAAATTGGAAATGTATCCCTACAGATTTTGTACTGTTACTCAAATAAACATTATTATTTATATGTAATATTATACCCACTCAGGCACTCAGCACTCAATATTTTATAATTTTCATGAAAACATACATTTGCACCACTAAACACAATATTATCTTTCTTGAATTATTGTTAGAAGCAATCATAATAAAATAAACAAAGAGTTTAAACTTTAAGTTAAATTTATTAAAAAAATATTAAAAATATTATCGATTTCTTGTGTTAAATTAACAAAATTGTTTTAATACTATATTAATTAAACAAACAAATCTGATTTCTTTCAGTAGGTACACACTATACTAAATTAATAACTATCAGGCACAGAATTAGAATTTTTTTTGCCGGGTGTTCTGAGTGATTCAGATACATTTTGTTCAAGAACAATGCCACAAGTCACAACAGACTGTTTTTTTCATAAGCTACAATGATTACTTAGATAAATAATTTAATTAAGATCAAGAACTTGTAGCATACATTTATTTTTTATCATACTATAAGAAATTATTATTCCTTATACCATGGTTTTAATTTTTATATTCTAAGTTCTAAATGTTTATTATATAATATTATGAAAGTTTGATTAATTAACAATGTTTAAATAATACTACCTATATGGGTATATAAGGTTTTTTCATTTAAATAAGGAAATATTTTAACACAGAGTTTAAACGACTACATTAACAATGAAGTACAAATTTGAAAATTTTATTTTAAATATTATTACTGTTAATATAAATTTTGAAAACAATTAACAAATAAGTAATAACAATGGTTGTGATTTATTTTATTGAATTTCAAATTACCTCTGTGAACAAATAATTTATCCAAAAGATCTTATTTGTTGACTATAATATAACAAGTTGGACTTATAACTTATAACCAAAGAAGATACGAAAATTGTATATTTTGGAAGAGGCACGCGATTGACTTTTGCTCCAGAAAAAAAAATACGATTTAAATTATACGAAAATTTCGATTTACGGGATGTGTGCCTGCGCGATGTATTTAAAACGGCTATTTGGAAACGAACACGGAAAATGATATTTTTTAAACCACTTTTAATCGAATATATAACCAACGAAGATACCAAAATTGTAGAGAACGTAGAATCAAAATTTACAGGGGTCCCTCGGTTAACTTGGGCTCCAAAAAGAAAAATACGATTTAAATTATACGATGATTTCGATTTACGGGATATGTGGCTGTGCGATATATTTAAAACGGATACTTGGTAACGAAAACCGAAAATCATGTTGTCCAAACCGTTTTTAATCAACCTTTTAACCAACGAAGGTTCGAAAATTGTATATTTTAGAAGAGGCACTCGATGGACATGGTAACCAAATCGAAAAATACGATTTAAATTATACGATGATTTCGATTTACGGGATATATGGCTGTGCGATGTACTTAAGACGGCTATTTGGAAACGAAAACCGAAAATTATGTTGTCCAAACCGTTTTTAATCAACCTTATAACCAATGAAGTTACGAAAATTGTATATTTTGGAAAAGGCACTCGATGGACTTGGTAACCAAAAAGAAAAATACGATTTAAATTATACGATAATTTCGATTTACGCTTATATGGTTGCGCGATGTATTTAAACGGATATTTTAAAACGAACACCGAAAATTATGTTTTCCAAACCACTTTTAATCGAACTTATAACCAACGAAGATACGAAAATTTTGTATTTAGGAAGAGGCATTCGATGGACTTATGCTCCAGAAAAAAAATACGATTTAAATTATACGATACTTTCGATTTACGGTTATGTGGCTGCGCGATGTATTTAAAACGGATACTTGGAAACGAAAACCGAAAATTGTGTTTTCCCAACCACTTTTAATCGATTTTATAACCAACGAAGATACGAAAATTGTATATTTTGGAAAATGCACTGAATGGACTTGGGATCCAAAACGAAAAATACGATTTAAATTATACGATAATTTCGATTTACGGTTATGTGGTTGCGCAATGTATTAATTATTATCTTTATAGTTATTGTTTTATCTGTTCTTTGTTTGAAAAAGCTTTCCTCGTATTTTCGTATGCCCGTATTATAGAAGGGACAAGAAATATATTCTTAAAATATTTATTTGATTATCTAATATTACATCTTTGACATTTGAGTATTTTACTGTAATCCACTTGGCCCCTTACAGTATTTTTTCAACAACTTCTGCATATTATCATAAAAGTAAGTTTTCATTTTATGAAATTATTATTACAATTTAGTGTATGAACACTATATCCATATTAAATAATAATATGTATCTACCTCATTTCAGTGCAGCTGACCGTGCCCACCGGCCTTACGCCGACTACGACGAATCTATATGACCACTCGTGACGGTGAATTGCCTATACGCCACATTTCACGGCGTTTTTCCCGGGACACATCTCTCAGGGCTATTCGGTTACTAAATAATATTATTTAGCGAACGTCCTCGAAGTGTATCACGGTCGACAGTGCACAGCAACCCATTTACCCTCTCGGTGCGACGTCAAACGGTCCTTCGATCTGTGGACGGAACCGAACTCAACGTTCGACCGACGACGGGCGGCACCTGACCCGAAGCCTGACCTCTGAGTAAAGAAATCGCCGACGAACAAGGATTCAAGAAGCCCATACGCTACCTGCCACCCGACCTGACGGATCCAGTTTAACGATTCCAACGCCCGAGGGCGAAACCATGGAGACGACGACCTGACCAACATTCGACCTTAACTCGTTGCCACCAAAATTGCATTTTCCAGTGCTCCCAAAGTATTAAGGCACTCAAGTTGACCTTCCCCGATTCGACTCGTCACCGAAGTACCTCTTAATTAAGTTTTTACCGGCGACGGTCAATCCCCAGACCAGTAACTTTACGCAAACTAAATATATTTAAGAATTAACTTATAACAATAAAAAGAATCTATTATTACATAATTTGTATTCTGTATTTTAAATAATTATTTCATTTTAATAATAAAGTTTGTTGGGAAAAAAAACATTTAGCGCGTAAACAGCTAGTAAGTATTTTTGAGTAAGGGGCAAAACCGATTTTGAGTGTGCAAACTCCCTGTAATTTTAAAATACGGTAAATATTTTGCTGAAACCGAGAATTCGTGGACAAAAATTGAGAAATCTCATTGTAAAATGCTATATGGTAAACATTTTTGTGTGACGGGCAAATAGATGGACAACGAGTATGAAATCTAACCGTGATTTTCACCGTGGTAAAATCATTGTGTCCAAGAGGGACATCCTCAATTGAACGTTGTGAAATTACCGCGGTGGAAAAAAAAAGAGACTGTGAACATACAAATGTATACTACTGACAAAATAAAGAATTCAAAAACAAATTTAAAGAAGATTAACTTGTAAATGCCAGAATTAAAAAATTTACACCAATCAGCCCAAAAATTAGACGAAATCGTAAATGATATAGACAAAGAATTGGAAAACGTTGTAACCTATAACTGTCAGGATTTAAACATTTATGGATTGTATTTAATAGGGAGTATCGTAGGATATTTAGTAATTCATACAATTATTACTAAAATAAAATTATATTGTAGAGATGAGAGAGGGTCAAGGAAAATGGTTACCAGAACTAGAGGTGGAAGACTACACAGAGATAATTATAATATAATTAATATAAAAATCGTATGGACAATCGCCCAATACGGTAAATAATGGCTCACAGACGGAGAAATTACTTTGGTAATTTTCTATTATTACATATAATACTATATTAATGTATGATTTGTATAATATATATCATATATCATATTAATCGTTCGTACTATTTTATAATCCATTTTATCATTCATGTACAATATTTATTTTTTGTTAATCATTTGCTTAATCCCTATTATTCAGTCATAACTATGCAACACTATTTCTAAACAAGTAATTTGAAGTTTAAGCAATATATTTAATAATTAAAATGTATGATGTGACTTGTGTATTATAATAATTAAAATAATATAGGTATCAATGTTTTTTTTAAAATAATTTTAAATTATTGTATGTTTATTATTATTACTATTTATTAAAAGGTTATATTTTATTAGGTTTTTAAATTATATTATAGATTTATCTATCGTCTATACCTGTGGTATTTATATTATCATTATTATTATTATTTTAATACAGTAGAGATCCTATGAACCGAATTAATAATTCTTAACTTTGTATAAAATTTGAATTTTAAACATTTTTCCCAAGAAAATATGAAAATACATTTTCATGTAAAAATACTTCGTTATTGGATTAATAACCAATATAAGTTAAGTAAAAAATTGGTGCTCCGCTGTTGAGTTTATTTATAGTTAACTAGTACTGTTGTAATTAATACAAATTATGAATTATGGTTTTGTACTAGTTAAAAAACTAGGCATAATTTAGTATAATATTTAAATGTATACTATTATATCTAGATTTTTGAAAAAAAAAAAATTATTATTGTAATTTAAATTATATATTAAGTTCACCAAAACAAATATTTTTTACACGCACATTGTTTTGTATGCTATTTTTGAATTCAAACATGAAACATTTCACCAACAAAATCAGTCTATTATGTATGCAGTTACATTTTTTTTTCGTCATTCAGGTTCTTCGATAGACTATATTCAATATTACCATGTATGATGACGTTATTTAGACGAGATACATTTAAGATCATAATTCATAATTATCATTCGTACGGTTTGATTTCAGATATCACAACCACTAGCATACGAACACGACTATATTTTACCCCGCTAACCACTACACAATAACCAAAAACACTCGCATACGTTCACGACTTTACTTCTCCCTCCACCAATACACTAGGTTGGTTTCGTGTAGGTTTGGTTAGGTTAGTTTCCTGTAGGTTAGACTGAGACAGAAAAAATTTAATAAAAAAAAAAACAATGAAAGGTTACTTCATCTTCACCGTGTGAAGATGTAATCATGATAGATCATGACCTTTCATTTCTTTTTTTTTATCAAATTTTTTCTTTCTTAATCTAACCTAATGTAATATCAGCTATTATATTATAGTGCAACGATATGACGTATCGGTCTTTGAGACTTGTAATAATGACTCGTTATAGTGGTGGTCATGCATTTAGATACATTTAATAAATGAACTTTATATTATATGCCTTTGATGGTAATTAGGCAGGGTTATGATATTTTTTATACTATTACATTATTTTAACGAAATTATGATATTTTTCCCTATTTTTACTAAAATATTGTGATGTTTCCATATGCTTTATTGAAATTATGATATTTTTACTTAATATTTTAGCAAGATTTTTCTATTTACACATATGCAGCTACGTTTTTTATCAAAATGAGTACCTACATTTTAACGTATATTCACATTGGTGAGTATATTTTTAGGCTTCAGCATAACATCTATCTACGTATTTAACGAAAAAATTAGTAAATTATATATGAATAGGTACTATATTGCATTTAATTGCTGTATATTGGATAGTGTTGTATCAGTATGTAGGGTGATGTTGTGATATATTTTATGTATCTACTATAAATATATAATAATTAATATATGTTTAATAATTTAGGTATTAAATTATTTATTTATCAAAAATATTTTATGTAAATCATTATTTGAAATAATCGATCGAGTCTATATGTATGCATGAATGCTGCTTAAGTAAATATATATGTAATTGTATGTATGTATGAATACTGTTTACATATATAAGAATATGTAAGGATATGTACAAGTATGTGTATATGCCTATAATATGTAGGTGACTTATTGATGTGTATATATTCAAAAAGCTTTAATTAGTTGATCAGATACTGCAACAAAGGAAATGTTATCACTTGCCATTCTTGGGAAAACTTTTGTCATTAGTTCTTCGTCTGTATCAGTAAATGTTAATAAAAAATTTTGGCCATCAGCTTGAGGTCGATTTCTAGTCTTTCATGTTATTATATTATTTTTACAAGTTTTAAAATGACGATGTAAATATTTTTTTTATACATAATAAGACAATGTTTACTTGGCAAGTATTCCTTTACCGAATTTGGTTTAGTCATAAATTTATACGGACGGCGTACAAGCTTTATTTTATTAAATTCTTTTACATTGCATAAGAAATTTCCTGTATTTCTTAAAACGTCAGCCAGTTGCTTTCTGTGAGCAGGGCCTTTGGGTAACTTTTCATACTTCATGACTTCAGTTTCATCTTGTTTTGTTAATATGTGTCTAGTAAAATGTGTTACGTGTTTTTTAAAAAATATACAATAATCTAATTTGTTCCAAATTCTTTTGTTTGTAACAGTTTTTCTTCCTACATTTTTCTACTTACCCATCAAAATTGAAACTTTTTGGTACAAAAGGCACACGTAAACTATTTTCTGGAAATATTGTTTTGAAGTAAAAGGAGTATCTAGAATTATGGATTTTCCTGGTTCATTACTATCTACATGGCTATTCATTTCACGTAGTAATGAACCGGTGAACGATAAATCACTTTATTTGTATTACAATTGTTTTACTGTTTATGTTGAAAGATTAATTTAATTATAAATATAAGTACATGTTCAAGAACCATATTAATATGTTTGATCTATCATATATGATCATTTTTATTTAAATACGGGAAAAGTTAAGGGAGAAGATATTGTGATTTAAGTTTTATTTTTTTAAATAGTCGTTACTTCTTTTTCTTTATCAGTTGATGTAATACATAAATGATGTGTTATGAACATGTTCTTATCCATGTCCGTATGTATAGAAAATTTGTCTGTCACATAAGACATAGTAACATGTCTTATGTGACACGTAAATTGACCAATTATGCATACGGACATTAGTATTTGTTTAAGCTCTGAATTTAACAAAAATGTTAAATTTATTTTATATGCATTTTGAACAAACCCGGTTTAAGGGGGTGGGGAGGTATGGCCCCGGGCCTACAACTGATATTAAACAATAGTAGGCCTCTGGCTCTGGCGGGTAGAACGTTTCCTATAATATATGGATAATGGATAATAATGTTAATTTAAAGACTGTATTTTTATGCATTACAAAATGTCAAAATATACCATATTATAACATGCAACCAAATTCGTGAATATATGCAAAAAATATGCAAGAAAAAAACTTTAAATTTTGTAATGTGGTAAAAAATGTAAAATTTAATAGTTTATAAATGTATGAATTAAAAATAATTAAAAACAATTTAAATTCCAATAAAAAATAATCTTGCCTAGAGATATCGTTTTTTTTTTAAATAACTAAAATAAAAAATTATGGTGAACCTTGTATTAAATATTTATTCTTACATATTTAAGCTAAATTTCTTCCAAAATACTCTATTAACATTTACTGATACAGGCGAAGAACTAATGACAAAAATTCTCCCAAGAAAGGCAAGTGATAACATTTCCTTTGTTGCAAAATTTGATAAACTAATTAAAGCTTTTTGATCACGATATTTAAAATGCCACAAAGAGAAACACCTCATAGCTGTTGTTCCTCAAAAAAAGAGAACATTGGCTCGGTTTTTAATATCTGTAAAATCTTTAATTCCTGAAATTCACTCACTCCAAGATTGTTTGACACCAAAATATTTTTATATTTTAAAGAAGTTGCACAATACAATGAAAAAACAGATAGCATTGGTTCTCCATCTGTAGTTTTAAAAATCGGTTAATCATTGAAGCAATGTTGCGAAATTGCTGACTTTATTTTACTAAAAGAAAGTGATAGCCTATGTATTTATTCAAATGAAAAAAATTTGTTGAATGGTACAAAATATATGATTAAAAAACAGTGGTCCTATGAAATATCAACCAATGCTACCAAGGGTATTTACCAAAAAAATGTAACAAACCAGAAATTTTACCTCTGACATCTGATATAAAATTATTCAGGAATTATAATATAGAAAATCTATAAAATGATTCTTATGAAAAATTTAAATTAAACCACAATAATTTACAAGCATATCGTGAATTACAAGAAATTATTCTGGCACAAATTGTTTTATTAACCCTTCTGTGGTCAGGAGAAGTACAAAGGGGTAAGGTTAGGTTTTTCCTTGCTGAAACAGGTATGTAATTTACTGACCACTCCACGACACATCCATATAAAGATAATAACCAAGTACTCGTCAATTAGCTTATAATTTTCGTTAACCTATCATTCTAGCGTTGTTATGGTATTTTATGACTTGAATTAAAACTTAATTACCGTACTTAAATATAGTCAAATAATTATTGTATGTATATATCTAGGTATATTATATGGTGGGTACGTCACATGGAAAATTCAAAAGGTGGACAAATTCTGATCAAATTACTCATATATTGTAGATCAGTGGTTCTTAACCTGTGGTCCGGGGCCCCTTGGGGGTCCACGATACTCATGTCGGGGGTCCGCGGCAGCCTCAACAGATAACATACATCAATAAGTGACAGAGTGTATTATTACAATATTATTGGATTATTATTATTTTTTTCATATATAATATGTAGATTCTACACCAAATAATTGTATTATTAGTATTTATTAAGTAGGTAATATGTTTTTCTTGTTCATACAAAATGTACATGCGTACAGCACTGTAATCTCGGCAGTCTTATATTTACTACAACTATAATTTCAGTTGATCGATCGTAGTATCGTACTCAATATTATCTATTATATAAAAATAAGTCCGGTTTTCCTCCCTGACGCTATAACTCGAGAACGCACGAACCGATTTCCACGGTTTTGCATTCGTTGGAAAGGTCTTGGGCTCCGTGAGGTTTATAGCAAAGAAAATTCTGGAAAATTCAGGAAAAATTCAACAGAAAAGTGGGGAAATCGTTTTTCACATACAGCGCCATCTATTATACATAGCATGTACTTCAAACCAATAGCAACGGTGCGTGATAAAGTGTTTGACGGATAGTTGTTTATTATATAGTTGACGGATAGTTGTTTACATTATTCTCTGCTCAGTTAATTTCATTTAAGCTAAAATAAATTATGTAAATTATGTGGATCGTGCATTTGAAGTTAAATTCAACACTCTGTCCATAGTCCAAAATGCCTAGAGAACGACGTGCGAACATCGGCCGCCGCACAAGACATGCAAGCCAGCAACAAGTATATTCAAGGAACTTAAGAGAAGAAAGACAAAATATAATAAGAGAAAATGACCGATTGAGACATCGCGTGAGCACACGAAGATCATTGGCATCATACAATCGCTTGGCATTCCAATATGATCCCACTGCGAAATACAGTGATGATGAAAATTTTGATATTGGACGAATGACGACTATATGCCGATATTGCAATGCGTTAAAGTTCAAAAGAGAAACGGTTGGATTGTGCTGCGCAAGTGGAAAAGTCAAACTGGATCCATTACTTACACCACCACATCCACTGAAAACATTGTTTGATGGAAGTGATCCCGATTCCAGCCATTTTCTTCAACACATCCTTGAATACAATAACTGCTTTCGCATGACTTCCTTTGGAGCTAATATCATTCGAGAAGGCGGCTTCATGCCGACTTGCAAGGTAAAAGATACAACACACATAACCAACACATAATTGCAACACATAACAACTTCATATACACCACACACTACACAATCAAACGATTTAAAAGGTATTCATGAACAAATTTTAATGATTATTTGCAATTACAGATACAAGGTCAAATATATCATTTGCATGGTTCAATGGTGCCAACCACACCAGATGAACCGCATCAATTTCTGCAAATATATTTCATTTCGTCGATGGTGGATCAGCTGAATGTGCGGTGCAATATACAGGGAGCACAACAGTTAAAGAGACGAATTATTGAACAGTTGCAAGCATTTTTTCACGCTAATAATGCTGTGGTTAATATGTTCAAAACAGCATTGGAACGAATGCCATCGGATACGCACAAATTTGTCATAAGAGCGGATTGTACTCCAACAGGTGAACATGTGCGAAGATTCAATGCACCCACCGTTAATGATGTTGCTGCAATTATTGTTGGCGATCCAACTAAATCACGAGACATTGTCGTTCAGCGAAGAAGCAATATCATGCATCGTGTAAACGAGACACATCGTTTGTACGATGCGTTACAATATCCAATCATTTATTGGCAAGGGCAAGACGGATACGACATCACGTTGAAGATGGTCGATCCAATTACATGTACAATATTCACACAATAATTATTTCCATTATTACTTTTATTGGTTTCCATTAACAATTCATTTAATTTTGCATTTTCAGGAGTATCAACGAATAATAAAAATCTAAGCGCAATGAATTACTATGCGTATCGTATGATGATTCGTACACATGAGGAGAATGTCATTCTGAAGTGCGGTCGGCTATTCCAGCAATTCGCTGTCGACATGTATGTCAAAGTCGAGACCGAACGTTTAGCGTTCATCAGATTCAATCAGCCAAAGCTACGATCTGAGGACTATATACACTTGCGTGATGCTATTCATTCAGATGGTGATGTTCAGAATATTGGACGACTGACGGTTCTCCCATCAACTTATATCGGAAGCCCACGCCACATGCACGAATACGCTCAAGACGCTATGACGTACGTGCGAAATTATGGAACTCCGGATTTATTTATTACGGTCACATGCAATCCGAAGTGGACGGAAATTGAACGCGAGTTGGAACCAGGTCAAAAACCGCAAGATCGCCATGACATAATCGCCAGAGTATTTCAGCAAAAACTCAAGGTTATGATGGATGTGCTTACTAAGTATCGAGTTTTTGGTGACACACGTTGTTATATGTACTCGGTGGAATGGCAGAAGCGTGGACTACCGCATGCTCATATCCTAATTTGGTTGCTGAACAAATTACATTCAAATGAAGTGGATGACATCATATCAGCTGAAATTCCTGATCCAGTCACTGATCCCCGTCTACACGACATTGTGACGACACAGATGGTGCATGGACCGTGCGGTGCATTAAATCCATTATCGCCTTGCATGGCTGATGGAAAGTGCACAAAACGATATCCGCGACCGTTAGTTGCTGAAACAGTCACAGGGAACGATGGATATCCAGTTTATCGTCGGCGTTCAAAAGAAGATAACGGTCGAACTATCAAAGTTAAAGTTCAAAATCAAGAGATTGAGATCGGAAATGAATTCATTGTACCATATTGCCCGCTGCTATCACGAATTTTCGAAACACATGCAAACGTTGAGAGTTGTCATTCGGCCAAATCAATCAAATATTTGTGCAAGTACGTCACAAAAGGCAGCGACATGGCTGTGTTTGGTATTGCGTCGGAAAATGTGAATGACGAAATCAGCAACTTCCAAATGGGCAGATACGTCAGTACTAATGAAGCACTGTGGCGATTATTGTCATTTCAAATTCATGAAAGATATCCCACAGTTGTACATTTAGCAGTGCATTTGGAAAATGGCCAAAGAGTTTACTTCACTGAGGCTAATGCGGCACAACGAGTTGAGAGACCACCATCGACAACATTGACTAGCTTCTTTGCAATGTGTGAATCAGATCCATTCGCAGCGACGCTGATGTACGTTGAAATGCCCAAGTATTACACTTGGAATCAATCAACAAAGAAATTCCAACGTCGCAAACAAGGAACCCCAGTTCCAGACTGGCCACAGGTGTTTTCAACTGATGCACTAGGTCGTATGTACACTGTTCATCCTAGAAACGATGAATGTTTTTATTTGCGACTGCTGTTAGTAAATGTACGTGGACCGAAATCATTTGCGCATTTGAAAACTGTGAATGGCCACCAATGCCAAAAAAACATAAAACGAATCTGGTGGCGAAACGGAGTTCGCCGGGTCTGCTAGTAGTTTATAATATTATATTACATTTTTATAAAAAATTAATTGTTATAAAAATAATTGGAAATGTGTATGTTTTGTTGTTTACTAATGTAATTTTTAATATAAAATAATTATTATAATAATTTTGGTTATGATAACATGAGATGTTTTGTAAAAAAATTACTAGGGGGTCCGCGATTTCTAAAAATATTTCATCAGGGGTCCGCGATCTACAAAAGGTTAAGAACCGCTGTTGTAGATCATTAAGGTAGTACCAATGTACCATTGTGTTTACAGATGCCAATTGAAAAAAATCAAGACAGCGGATAATATGTATTATACATAATGCACATTAATACATTATTATACTATTTATACCTTAAATTGAACATTAATTTCCATGTAAGTATACCTAATTTAAGTCTTTTATAGTTCAGTTATATTGTATTCGAAATCCTGTTCGTTTGTTTGCTACATAGTATTGGCAAAGTATTGGTTCCAAAGAAATTATTCATATAATATATAAATACATAAACGGGGTCGTTATCTTTACAATAGAATTTAATTTCCCTTCAAAAATATTCAAATCCCCGAACACTCGTAGGAAATCAATATAGAATTTTTCATCGTTTATAATGCTGCTTGCAGGACGTCGCTTACATTGTGTCTTTTACACAAAACGGAATTTAATTTTAAAAATTCCTATCTTGTCTACACCATTATATCTCTTTGGGTGTGTCACTTACTTACTGATATACATTAAGCAAGTTATGGTTAACGTATAAAATACACGTATCTTGAATTACATATTATGATATATCCATTAAGCCTTATCATTATTATATGTAGGTTAATGGTCATACAGTAATGTATATTATATATATTTGAAAATTGTAGTAACATAAATTAGATTAATACCTACACATAGGTACAACATTTAGACAAAAACACTGTCGCCACGACGTTAATGCAATCTTGGCAGATATATATGTTAATATGTCTACTGCAGCCCACCTATCTGGTTAAAAGCTAACTGCCACTGGCAATGACACATTTATAGGATACCTATACATACATTATATAATAATATATATATATTTATGAATGCATATCATAAGTCCACACAATAAAGATGCTTTTTTTTATGTACATATCTATCATACAAAACGTAAAGCCTCTAGACGGGCCCAAGCCATCCCTGTAACATGTAAATATTGACTCTGTAATATAATATAATATTATATCAACTCGAATAATATCGCTCTTGAAACGTATATATTCTATAATAAAACCACCGTTTTAGAACTACCCCGACTGTATAGCACCATAATAATTGTTCTATACTGATTCGCAATATTATTATCTATTTTTTTTTTCGTTTTGCAGCTGGACACAATAATGCTTATAATATTATGACAACATTTTAAACATTATATTAATATAACAATTAATTGATTATATTAATTGTTATTGTAAAAATTAAAATATTTTAATCAAAATGTATTTATAAGTGGGTTTCTTTTTAACATTTGTGTTCATGAATACTGAATAGATAATTTATATAAAACTAAAATGTATGATAATAATTAAACGGAAAATAATAATTAAACTGTATCATTGACAGTTTTGACGTGAAATATTAATATAAAAAAAACCAAAGAACTCGCTCTGCTGTATATTATATATATATATATATATTGTACCACTTCATTGAGTAGTTTATGGTAGTATAATATGTTGAATTTGAATTAAATTATGAACCAGAATCATTACATACGAAAATTGGTTCTTAGCGGAGATGATCCATATTAAGACTGACGCTAACTCAAGTAACATGTGACAGATGATATGATGAGCAAAACAATGACAGTTAACAAATGACTAGTGTCAACGCATTGTCATTAAATAACGTGGTTTTCAAGTTATATTATTTTTATCATCATCTGGTATTTGCCAAATGACTTCAGAAAACGAAGATATACTTCTGTGATATATATGCAGTGAAATCGATTAATGTTTTCAATAATAATCAATGATCTAAAATGTTGGATTCATCCGTTTTGGAAGAAAAATTTTAATAATAGTGGTATTTATCGAAAAGGACCTCACCCATACAAATGGTTTTATCCGAAATGATAATAGTAATATGTGTTTAGCGTCGTATACATCCACCTGTTTTAAAATATTATGGTTTTGATCATATTTTATTGTTTATAAATTCTAATATTGTTTGGGCTGGGTGTACCTACATACTACATAGTGTTGTCAGCTTAAAATGTCATTAAATGGTAGTTTGTATTTTGTACATTTTATATTTAGTAAAATATATATCATTTTAAGTCTGCAATAGTTAAAGAAAAAAAAATTAGTATGCTAATCGTTATTTTTCCTCAACAAGGAAAATCTATGAATCATAAATATGTTTTTGTAAATAAGTAACCATAACAACGAAACCCTTACTAAAAATTGGTCAGAAACAGTTGATCATGTAACCAGCCTTAGAACATATTTATGTCAAAAAAATATTATACTATATAGTAATATAGTATATTATAGGTACTTGTGTGAAAATAACTAGCATCTATGGTATACTACCATTCCGTGGTTACAACTATTATTTATTTTTACTTTTTATAATTTATTGCTATAGGTAGGTACAATGTTTTACCCGTGTGTCGACGACAATAATATCAACAATAACTATTTCATTGATATCATTAATTAATAAACTAATTAAGCCAGATACCCATAAATGCATATACAAGTATTGAAATAAATTAAAAAGTAGGTAGTAAATATTTTAGTATGTAGGTATAATGCTTAAAACAAAAAAGCAATCACGGAAAAACAGAGAAGAGAAAATAAAAAAAATATGAACAATTTTTTTGGATAACACAAACATTACGTGTTTTTAGGAATTTTATTTATTTTAAAAATAATAATCGGGGAAAATAATATAACATTTAATATTAGTACATTAATAATAATAATAATAATAATGATTTATTCAGCTCAGATAAAATACAAACAAGAAAAGAAGAAAAAAAACAAACAAGGAATTATATGAATTGAGCTGTTTACCCATCTCTTTAAGCATGCTTGTGATTCAATACCTATTTCTTGTAAATTAATGATACTAAATTTGTTACTATACATGATAAAAGCCAAACTTCTTTGAATTTTCATAATTTAAAAAAAGGTAACATTCTAACATTAGGTATCTTTTAAATTTAATGGAAGTATTTAACATTTTGCCCCTAAACTTCTTTAATCTACAATACCTCCATTTTCTCGATAATATGTTCACTCGACAATACACTTAAGATAGGTACATACCGATCATTGATTAACAACAACAATTATTATTTATATTTACATTTTTAAAATATTCGAAATTAGTGTGAATAGCTTCTATAAACACATACACGAGTCTGTACTCAGGTGTGTTGTGTCTGTGACAAGGAGATAAAATAAAAGATGTTATTTTGCGATAAGAGATTCAAATCCAAATTAATTGATAGGTGTTAATATGTATAATACACGGTAATGCATTTTTTGGTTCAAAATTGATTTATTATTCACCTAACTTCTGTAGTAATACAACGAACATTTTTATTTTTATTTAATTACAAGTTCTGATTTTATTCGTTTTTAATTTTCACAACGTGTTTATTTCCCAATCACCGTGCCACAATAATAGTTACTTATATTATAATTATATGCGTGTATACAGATACAATATATCATATTATAATATAAATGTGTGTTGTATATTGCATATAAAGTATAAAGAGAATGCGAATATTTTCGAACGTGAAATTTCATCACTGCTGTGGCGACACACCACAACGAATGACAATAAGCAGTATATTTTGAGTAAATTTAAAGAACTCATTAGTTTGTCATTAAATTTCAACTTATGTATAAATCGGAATATGGCAGAAAAGTAATATAAGACTTGTTATCAATAATTACATATACCTAATAACAAAAAATAAAAAAAGAGGTTCCTTGTACTATTGGATATAACAATTATTATTACAATACAACATTGGTATTAAAAGAAAGGCAACTGAAAATATTTGTGAGTAAGAGTCAAAATTAATCCATTGTAGTTTAAAAGAAAGTGGTAAGTCCATAATAGTTTATAATTTTTCATACGTATGGTACGTATTATTGGTGACAATATTTTTCTTTTCAATTACATTAGTAGGAATTGAGAATATTAAAACAACAGATGTGAATTGTTTTCGAAAAAGAAATTATGAGGCCCTTAGAAAACCATATACAAGTAGTACATGAGTCCAGGGCTCGGGACTTAAAGCACTTAAAATCATTAAAATAAGCGCTTAAATAAGCACTTAAAAACATCATTATAAGCACTCAAATAAGCATTTAAAAAACTTAAATTTAAGCAAAAATATTTATTAAAAAAAAAAACAATAAAATAAAAATAAAAATTTATCTTTATATTATAAAAAAAATTAAACTTCATTTTCAGGACTGGGGATTTTATGGATTTTCCAAGGGATTTTCTGAAAAATAAAATGTAAACAATATTTACAAATAGTTGAAAAAAAATAATTTTTTAATAAATTTTAATAAATTGTTTTATTTAAATTATTTTTAATTTTAATTCTATCAAAAACAACTTTGCAGTAGAAAACCATAAAAAAGTATGAAAACTGGTCAAAAAAGCAATAAATATCATAAAAACTTGAAATAAGCATTTTTTTGAAAAATCACTGAAAAAAGCAAAAAAAAGCACTCTCAAATTTCATAATTGAATGTGTTGTAACATGACATACACTTCTATAGTACTCTGCTACATTTTATGTCAATCTAAAAAAATAAGCAAATGCTTTAAGTCCCGAGCCCTGTACATGACGTTTTAAGGTCCATTGATAACAAAATAAACGAATGTGAACAATTTTTACATATCAACGATAACATTATGAATTTTATTCTATTTTCTCGTGAAAGTAACTTACGAAATTGAACATCAAGCTCTCAAATTTATGTCA